TTTCTTCTTGATCTATTGGCTTTGTCAATATATTAACATGTAAGTTACCTGTGGGCATCTACTAAATACAGTTTGGTTCCCAATTTGGATTAAACTACTTTTTTTTTTCTTTGAATTACCAGAATATCTGAATTTTTTTATCTAATTACAATTGGATTTATTATTTTTAGACAATTACTCAACAGTTCTTATAGTTCGAGTAAATATAACAGCAAAGTCCACGACTCCAAATCAATAACAATCATAAAGTTTTAGCATAAAATCTGAAATAGCCCGTTTTTGTGCTCCTAAAACACCCCAAGACATGTCTTTTAACCCCCAGGATCTGTCTTCACTGTACCTCTATTCAAAAGAATCTCTAAGCCACTTGAGAAAGTTGAAGAAGTTACAAGAGTAATAGTGACACTAGGAAGAATTTTCAAGAAATTTAAAGAATTTAATTAAGATTTGGAACAAACTTGGAGAATTGTGATTGAAGTCTGGTAAGAACCAACTTTCTTTTTCCCATCATTTTGGTCCGTCCTAATAGATTTTGCAAAAAACCCCAAATTATAGGGTTGTTGTTCTCATTTGTTTTCTGCATTATTGTACCCTTGTATTTATTTAAATTGAACACTAAAGCATAGGCAAATCATGCATTGTAAACCTCCTTCATATTGTAGAAATGGAATCCTTGTGCATGAGCCACTGGCGGAGACAGCAGTTGTTAGTCTCTTATCAAAGAACTAGTATTTTGGTATTTTAGTAAATTAAGAATACCTTGTCTTTTCATTATTTCCAATAATGAGAAGTTAATGCTTGAATTGTCGTGTAATCATCTCAATATAATGGACTTAGTTGTACTTCGTTATAAAACCTAGAGACTCCATGTAATTCACCCTTTTCCTTTCCATAACATTACTTTATAATAGTTTCAGATAGCAGAATATTCCAGAACACCTGTTATCATATCTTAGTTGACAGAAGACTTCTAGACCGTCCACTTTTTCTATAGTTGAATATTTGTACAATTCAGGTAGAAAGTACAGAACTTTTGTGCTTTCTGTATCACGTGATTTTCTTGAATATTAAGAGAAGCTTTATCATTCTGAAATTCTCATCTAATTTATTCTTGTGGTGAATGTTCTGATGGCTGACTCCAGATGTGTAGGCTGTTGTGGATGTAATATGTTTTTGAACTTTTCAAATTAGGGTGTGAAAATAATAGCATTTAGGAATAGTAATCAATTGCCTAGAAATTCACTAGCGGAAACATTTTTGTCTATCTCATTTTTGCTAGATATGAATACATATAATGATTTGAGTTCCTACTCCTTGCTGCTATATTAACTCAGTTTTGGATTTAGTGGTCATCCAATTCCGAATCAGTTGAAATGAGGAAGAAATAAGCATGGCACCACCATCTAGGCCTCCAACGACTGCGGCTTTTTCACAAGCTGAAGAAGGCCTGTGTTGTGGTAGATTTCAGCATTTAGAGTCTTCAGAAAGCAGCTATCATTCCTAAGTCAAATATGTCTAGGCTTGGCATATATAAATTTCGATTTTATTTTTTTTACATCACTAGATTGATGTAGTTTGTAATTAATGCAAAGAAAGCTTTTAGTCTGGTTGTATAGTTGAAGTCCAAGGAAAGATAATAGTTGCTCTTTTCTTTTCCTGTCTCTGCTGACCTCCTGATATCCTCAGATACTCTTAATAATCTGCGGCACCTACATGTATAATATATGCCTATCCAATATCATTCCAGTACACTTCGTGTCATGTGCTTTCAGTTCTCTCGTTTGTCTTGCATCCTAAGGGTAAAAAGCTATTTCTTTTCAATGGTGAAATGATGATCTGATATTGAACTAGATCATTAGCTTGTATTTTTCATATTTATTAATCGCACATCTTTTTTTTTAACCGAAAATAAAAGAATAATATACAGGATACAAACTATAAAGATAAGCTTAATATTCCAAGTTTAAGCTTATGTTTGGGGGGAAAAAACTAAATAATAGCAGTAATTAATGGGGTTAAGCCTCCTTGGAGGTGTTAATGATGGGTGGCAATTTCGAAGAGTGAAGAAGAACAACACAAGAAACAAGATGGTGGGGTGGTGATACATTATTATGTTCGTCTCTTCTTTTGGAATTTTGATCAAGAAACCCTACTCTCACTCTCCACAAGCTTCAACCTTTATGGCCTCTTTCAATTCTTGGGAAATTAAAGTACACTTGCGAGGTTTCTTTATTCCACACAACAATAACCACGGGACCAAACCCATCTGACCTGAACCGACCTGGCAATTACTTATTTATCTATATCATATTTATCACGTTTACTTATTTGCCACACACATGGTTATGTAATTAATACTTGCTAATTTTCATACAGTAAGTTATGCAGAAAACTAATGCTTATAACTTCCCTCTATGTATTTATACATTCAATGTATGAACTAAAATCAAAGTGATGTTGAACAAATGAATAACAACACTACATAATTATATCGTATCACATCTCATATTTACGCTTGCCTTAATAACAATTTTCATAATGACATCATCTGTAAACAAAAAAAAGAGAGACAAATTGCTTGTATCTTGCACAAAGTAATCCTCAAAGCAATTTTTTTTTTTTTTTATAGAAAACCCTTTAAGCAATTCTTAAATATTATTTTTTACACTTTCTATTAATTTCCAATTTTTTCATCAGGGTAAGTTTTATATAATATAAATAATTATTTTTTAATAAATATATTTGTGTACTTCTAATACGTTATGACTTTATGTGTATATATTACTAACTCTAAGAAAATATTAAGAAGATAAAATTGGTTAGGCAAAAAAAGTAAGAACAGAAAGTTAAATTAATATTTATTTTTCACATTAATCACTCTTAATGATAATTAATTAAACAGTAAAGCCTGATGACGTATGAGAAAAAAAAAAAGAAAAAAAAATTGTTTGGTAGTCAATTTCAATGTTTAAGCACATGATTTCTGTTGGTGGATGGATGAAGATTGTCAAAAGCTACACCTTTCTCCATTTGCCTAATCCTAAATGAAATAAACAATGTTTGACCGCTTTTTCTTCTATATATGTATATATATATATATATATCATCTCAATTTTTAATTCAAGCCCTTTAACATATATTGCTTCATCCACAATTACATATTTTCTCTTACAATCTCATCTACATTGTTTATATATAAATATATATATATATCAATTTATTGCATATGTATGATATAAAGTTACATAAGCATGCAGACGTTACTAATAGATACATACTCCTTCACAAGAAAAGAAAAAAAAAAATCAAATAAAAAAATTTCTGAACAACTATAATAATTTCAAGTGCATATAATATTTTTTTTTAGAGTATGTGCCACTGTAGTATCTCTACGATCTTATGAGATGTTATTATCTCTTAATAACTTATATAACATAATATTGCATATAATGTAATCAATTTATTTAAAAATATATATGATCTTGAATTTAAGAATAAAATATATAATCATAATGGCTTAAATTGGATATTAAACCATAATGCACAACAATCAAAATGGCTGTGTTTTTTATATTATAATGATTTTAGTATCAATTAAATCATTATATATATTTGTACTAAAATTCAACAACATCTTGAGAATTATTTATATATGGTTCCAAATAAAATATAAAGTATGATGTTTGATATTTAGTCGGATCTAGAAATGATGTGGTCCAAATCTTGAAAATAAAATAAAATCAGAAAATAAAACACTACTATAAGTTGAATATTATGCATAGGCTCCACAATAATCATATTGTCCCATCACCACATTCCCAAAATTTTTATCCTTACACTTATAAAATTAAATATATATATCTATCTATTTGTCAGGTGCATGAACATTGAAACCTCATTCTCTCCCACCCACTAATATTTATATATCATCATAATTAATCATGCTTACAAAAGATGAGGCAAGATTCATGGTCAATTTCAACTTAAGACCATAATTCATCACTTGTATTCAACCAAATCTTTTTACCCAGAATTAATAATCTACAACATCATATATATATATATATATATAAACACATATATCCTTTTATAAATGATAGGTATGATGATGATAATAAAATCAATACTAACTAGGTATAGCCTTGATTATTAGTGCTAGTGATTTATTTATCTAAAATAATAATTTTCGCATAAAAAGTTAGATAATGTCATAAAGTGTCTCCTATATATATATTAATTTTAGTACAAAGTATTTGATTATTATTATTATTTTTTTTAAAAAAACAAACAAATTTAATGAAGATATAAAATTGCAGTTAAAAGCATGTAAAGAACATGTATAAAAAAAGTAGGTGGTGTTAATGGTATGGGGCATGGATACAAAAGTGTTTCCTTAATTGATAATAGCTACTTCATAGTCACATGTGAGAGCATGTACATACACCATTTCATAAATCTTTATACCAACTGTTTGCTGAATTTGGAAATGGTACTTTGCTTACTCCATACACCTTAAGCTACAGTGTTTGAAATTTGGAATCCCTTCATTTCCGTCACAAATAATAATAATCATTACATCCTCTAAACTATAGTAAATTAGTTTATATATATACATATATATATATATGTAAATGTATATGTATGTGTGTGGTGGCTCATGTTTCCCACCTCTAATATTTTATTGTGTGTGTGTAATGCATAATGGTCCCATTCCCAATAGTTCCAGCATGTATATAAATACAGGCTTCATTTTCTTCATCTTTTTTTTTTTTTTTTTTAAAGAAAAACAAGTTTATTATAATGATGATGATGATTAATACAATGATGCTGCAAAACATTCAAAGATATCAAAATCAAACCTAAAAATGAAATTTAGTTGACGACAGATTAAAAGTCCAATCACACCATCGAGTTAACTACAATTCCTAATTTTTTAATATGTAAAAATGTATGCAGAGGCCATTTTATATTTTAATTTGACTTGAAAAAGAGTTTGAAGAAAGGAAAAAGTAATAGGGCAGACTAAAATGTCTGACAGGTAGTCAATGGATGATAAAGGGTATATGAATAAAAAGTACCCTAAGAGTAAGAGAGCTTTAACCTCTTTACATACAGTCCTGCACACCATAGCTCCAATATATACACACTTACATTACCCTCCAATTGGTTATTCAGACACACTGCCTTTTGCTCTTTCAATTTCACCTCCATAACTACACACACAGAGATCTTCAGCAGATAAAGCCTAAAACCCTCTCTTTTCTCTCTGGTAATACTACAGTTCTTCTCATATCA